TGGTCTTTGTGCCACAGTACCTGTCCGGGACGTGGGAGTGAAGAACATGCCTCAAATAGACATGTATCCACCACCTTCCCCCTCCCCCTCCCGCAGTGCTCTGCTTGAGATCCTGGAGCCCTGGCTTTGACTGGTGCCGGGCACGTGGGGAATTAGATCTAGGGGGAGATTTCTAGAGTCCCACAACAGCTGCTGCTTGCATGCAGATGTGCACATCTGTCTGGTGTTACTGGGCACCCGGCCTGCTTTCTGTCCCTGACAACCTGGGCAAAGTGGCATCACTGGCTCAGGGGTTCCTCTCCTCAGTGCGCTGCAGAGAAAGCCCTTGTGTGTTAAAGGGCCTCAGGGAGCCCAGAGCAGAGGGAGCTGGGAATCTAGTCCCATTGATCCCCTCAACACACACACACAGTCCCAGCCCCAAGCCCACCGGCTGAAGCAGGAGGGAAGTTTTTAGGTTAAATATTAGGCAAAACTGTAGAAGAACTGTTAGACGACGGGATAAGCTGCCAAAGGGTGTTGTGCAATCACTGTTGTTGGAGTTATTCGAGGCTAAATACCCATCTACAGGAACAGTTATAGAATAATTAAATCAATCCTGCCACAGTGCAGAAGGGTGGTGGAGGGGTCCCTTAGAGCCCCATTGAGTCTACGTGGTGCCCAATAGAACAGTCCCTCTAAGAAATGTTTTATTAGATGATGAGCTTTCGTGGGCCAGACCCACTTCCTCAAATCAAATAGTGGAAGAAAGTAGTCACAACCATATATACCAAAGGATACAATTAAAAAAAATGAACAAATATGAAAAGGACAAATCACATTGCAGAACAGGAGGGGGATGCGGGGGGGCCTTTTCATATTTGTTCAGTTTTTTTAATTGTATCCTTTGGTATATATGGTTGTGACTACTTTCTTCCACTATTTGATCTGAGGAAGTGGGTCTGGCCCACGAAAGCTCATCATCTAATAAACCATCTTGTTAGTCTTTAAAGTGCTACATTGTCCTGCATTTTGCTTCAAAAAGGAGATGGACGGTCAAACCACATTAACGTAAAGTTTTGTGCTTGTGCTATCTAAAAGGCATACTACAAGGAACACACAACAAAATGTTTATTTCTTAAAATTCCATGGAAAATCTTAGAAGGTCTTTGGGGCCTGTCTTTGTTTTTATATAATGCCTAGTATGTTGTATATACTACTGAAAGCATAATAAAAGTAAGTACAATATTATTTTATATATATTTTATGATGGGTTGGATGTTTATATTTTACCATATTTATTTTTGGAGTATTGGTTGCACTGAACTGCCAACTTCAGGCTTTACAATGTATGCAAATGTACAGGTAAATGTGATTTGTTTTCATCAGTAGGAAGCTAATCTTACCCATAAAACCATTCCTCTTGACCTGAATCCAGCAAAACACTTAAGCATGTGCTTAACTTTCAGCAAGTGAGTAATCAGTTGAGCCCTTTTCCTAGATGAAGATAAAAGCAGCTAGAGCATAGTATACTAATATATTTGGAATTTACATTTGTATAGGATATGTGGGCAAAGAATTTAATTGCAGCTGTGATAGTGTTTGATGTGTTTGTTTGATAACGTACACAAAATGCATAGCCTAAAGTCTGAGACTCTGTGTACTAGATGTACACGTTGCAAAGGCTGAAGAATAGTAGCACTTTAACAGAATATAACACTATGAATGTTGGACAGGTAACTCATAAAGGAAAACTGAGAGTGAATTTGCTTTGAAGATGCAGGGCTACATTGAGAGTTTGCCCTTAATCAAAATATTGATTGTTTTGAGCTGGTTGATAAAGTAGGTGAGACATTCATTTAGATCAGTTCTTCATTAGTCATAAGAGAAGCCCAGTAGGTTAATTTGTATTAAGACTGCTAGAAAGATTTCTCAGGATGATCAATGCTTTGAATGTTTTTAAATGCTTTTGCAACAAAACTATTTAAGTTTGAATACTTGGATTGCAATATTCTGTCATATCTAAGTTATCTGAATACATGTACAAACTCGATTTATATTGGATTTGATAAACTTCTGATTTCTGAGTTATTGGTACATACAAGCTATAAAATTGCATCAAAAATAAATAAGTATATAAAAACTGAGGATTAAGCTCAAATTAATCATTTGTAGCTTTGGTATATTTATATAAACATTATTTTTCCTCTCCAGTAAACCTGTAGGCATCATATAATTTTTTTCAAAATATAGGAGATGTATATTATTTCTGTCAGTATTTATATGACTAGATTAGGGATGTTAATTACTATGTATTTTTGTAGAGGTGTAACTGCTGGTGGTGTGTTTT